TGTATGTACAGTATGTATCCAGCTTGTCAGAAGTCATTGATTTGTATGAAATAACACCAGCGAAAAGCAAAATACTTATTTTAAGCCACTGTTATTCATTTAAATCCGTTATTTATTTTACATTTCCATAACTATAAAATTCACAATTTCCTAAACTTTATTTTGAACTATAGTTTGTAAAAATCAAGCAAGAAATAAGAAATTGATAAGAGTTTTTCATCAGGAAGACGCTTTACAGTCCATTGACATCCATTCATTTTGTTGCGGCTCCTCAATGCATAACAGAGCTCCAGTGTGTGCACGTCCATGTAGCTAGCAACGCGCTAGCCACGCCCAATCCAGTAATATAYATCAATGTTCCCATGTATAATCAACATGCATTATGGCAGATGTAGTTTATGATCAATGCTGGCTTTAAAGCAGCTGATTTTAAGACATCAGTACTGTGCTAGCCAACTCATTACTTAAAGCCAACAGTTTGTGGCCAGGACAGTTATTATCATCTTTCACCTTTTAAGATGATTTATTTTGATGCATTTAATCATAAATTGAAAGTTTCCAACTGATGTATTGATATGAAAACAATTTTCATATTAAATGAAAAAATATATGTATATAAGCTCCGCCCACCTTGTTTACATATTGAGGCAGAAATGCATAATGCAATGTAAAAACAGKAGAGAGAGAAATGTAAAAGCAACACATGGAAATAAAAAGACTTGTGAGAAAATTTTTTTTAAATACTTTAATATAAACATTTAAGAGTAAATTATGTACTAAAATATATGTTATTGGAACTACACTGGAAAAACAAATATGAGGGTCAATTAAATCACAAAACATGAGGTAAAGTTATTTTTTAATTTATTTGGTGCATTTTAAGTGTATTTATATATTCATTGCTGCTTTTATATACTTCTGCTTTTATTTCTAATTATAACAGTTTTGGTCCTCCGTATGTTCGTGCTTGATCTCTACACAACCTGACAGAGAGGGAGGGGGTGAATATTTATGTAGACACTTATTATTCATATTACTGTTTATGAAATTCATTTCATGACATTAAAAAAGTGTTTTTAATCTAAAATGTTCATTTATTTTATCTGATTTATGACAGCAATAAAAGCATAAAACACCAAATGAGGTGAAAACGTTTTATAGACACTTTATGTTCCTACACTTTATAAAGAAACTTTTTTTCTGAGGCACTGAAACATGACCTATAGTTTAAGTTCAGCACTATGGCTCTAGTGTTGATGGCTGAATGAAGTGTTTCAGAACAGGTGGGCTGAGATCCTGTGACTGTGCACAGGTGGATGAATACTTCTGCTGTCCACTGTTACTGATCAAAGTCTTAAATGTATCATGGTGTTATTAACACAATGTTTTGATTATGTCAGTTTGTCACAAAACCCTACAGGTCAAATGAAAAAAAAACATTTGGATGACTATTCAGTTATAGCATTAAGTTTTGTTTCTGATTAATTCAAGGCTATTAACTGCAACAATGCTTGGAATGTGTGATGCCCCTTATGTTTGACTAAAATATGTATTTATATGTGTTTATGGGGTTGTGAATACTGTTAATTAGAAATTTATATGAATACCATAACCAGTACACTACTAATACAAGATAATACACGTTATGTAAGAAATAATATAGAAAATGGGTAGGATTAAATAAGTTTATACTTCTTCCTACTCTTTTTCWAACAGATAAAACACTGCATGTTTTTATTAAGTCAGTTACCGATTTGTGTGCAATACATTTTTTATTATATACTTATCATCTTGACCTGGGTTTGTGCACAGGTGTATCTTATATAAATCCCACTCAATTACAGTTTACATATTATATCCTGAAAAGGTTAGACAACCTCCTGTTATGTCACGTCTGAACACTACATCAGTAAGAAAGCAAAAGCGATTTTCCTGTCAAAAAAAAAATCCAGGGACGCTAAATCAACTAGGTAAAATTAGTCTTTAAAATCTGTCATTTAAATATGAGAAGTCTTGTACCTAAACTAGATGAATTCAAAGTAATACTGTCACATTAATAGCACAGTAATAGCACATATTATGGCTATATCAGAATCATGGCTCACTCCTGCTATACCAAATTTGTTTCTTTCAGTTGAAAATTATTCATTGTATCGTAGAGACTGTACTGATAGGCTTGGAGGTGGTGTTGCGGATTTTGTTCAAAAGAAATACTCACATTCTACGTATAATAGAATTGTCAACTGAGTCTGAATCTCTGCAATTAGAAATCAAGCTTACAAATCACCTTTCAG